AACAAAACCTACATTCGCAGTATTGTAATTCTAAATTAAACTGAGATAACATCTTGGCAATAAACAGTTTATAAAGACAGTGCATTTGTCTTAAGCCCACAGATTGTCTGTCTTAATTAATGACTCATTATCTTTATTTTTTTATCTTGATTCGACACTATCGCATGTATAGTAACCGTTGTGTTCTGTGGTAACCGTCTGCGCGAATCATTTGATTTGCCGCTTTGTCCGCCGATTGAAATCCCTACTTCTTGCATTCGCATTGGCGCCACGGTATTTATAGAACGTATTCGTATTAATTATTTGAATTACACATTTATAAATAATTCAAATAATAATTATTATCGTGTGTTTACTTAGTTATAATTATACCTACGGGATATTGAATTTAGAAAGTATGCCTCTTTATAAATGGATTATCTGCTAAAAAGGACATTACCATAGGTTTATTTTTCATGTTTTACAATATTTTTAATTAATCAAGGTGCAAACCTTGGTAACTAGATGTTTTTACAAATTTATTTATATAATATTTATCAATTTATCAAAAGTTAACTACATGTTTTAAGTTTATAGGCAATTTATAAATATAACAATATATTATATTATATATATTATAGCCGAGCTCAATGCTCACGACCAAGGCTAGGAGAGGATAGATGATGTTTGACATTATAGCTTATGTGCATAAATTTATTCTACAGTGACCTGTAATTTTACAGTTAACTACATTGATTTCAAGCTAAATGCGATAGATAAAACCACTATTTTCATTATCCTGAATAAATTGACAATTAATCCATTGTTTTTTCACAAAGTTGGTATCTTATTCAATTTTAAAATTTGATAAAAGCACTAAAAATTTTTTTTAACCAATATTAAGTATAATAAATTAGTGGTTTCAATTAACGTAAAAGTTTGTCTTATGAATATACACAGTGTTGTTCACAAGCAACAAATTAGTGGTAGTACTTTTCAATTAGTGGAAAAAGTTTGCAAACTCCAAACTTTTACCACTAATTATAATTGGAAAGCGGCTTTGCGCATGTGCGCGGATATTTTATGTTAAAAGCAAAAAGTTTGAAGATTTGCCAGTGAAGGTAAGGTTATATAAATATTATTGTAATGGTTGTAAACAATATTATTTTAATATAATTAATTAAGAAGAATGCACAATCTTTTAGTAAACTCCCTTAATTTTAGATGTTAATTTTGCGCATTGTGAATGATCGTTTTGTAAAAATTATAAGTATAATTGAAACCACTAATTTTTTCCACTAATTACGAGGTTCTGAATGAGGCTTAAGACATATTTCTTGTCGGCTCGATACAGTTTTTTTAACGATATTTAAGTCACAATCGTATCACTACAATACGAATCAAATATCTATATCAAAATATTCGTTTGTTTTGGCAATCACTACCTCATTTAATGAAAATGTCAGACATATCTTAGTCTAGACTGTAAGGTTCTATGCTCCACATCCAAAAGGTCCACTGTAAAATTTAAATGCGGAACGCAGCATTGTGATGACAAGAAGTCAACGAGATATGTTTTAACTACATGTTGTGTTTTGTATCGTAAATTAGGATCTTTATATGCTAGAACTGAAAACTCATTTTTTATTTTTTGTCTACCTTCATCATGTGTTATAGTAAAAGAAACCAAAATAGATTTATATAGTGTTGCTTGAATTGATAGGATTTTTATCTTCAATTGCTCGAAATAGGCATAAAAAAACTGTTTTATCAATTGACCTATACAGGGTGGTCCAGTAATAATCTAAAGAATTTATCGTATTTTCATTGAAACAAGAATTTAAATCGTATTAATTTGGATTTATCTGCTTTTGATAGGTTTCAAGACAGGTATTCTATATCAATTACTTGGTTTGGCTCAATTTTGAGTTTACCAATGGATTAAGATTACCTCATTTACTGTTAGATGAAACCTAAGTTATTTTTCAACAAAACTGGATTTATAAAACTGACTTTTCCGAGATGGAACAACATTTCTTTCTAGTCAAATTCGTTTGATTTTTCTTTAACCTTGTTAGCTGAGGGAATTACTTTTGCTTTTTTTGCTGCAACCAGCTTCTACCCATTGTTTTGATTGCATTTTTAATTCTGGTATGCAGTGATGTATTTAAGTTTTATTAGCAGTACAATAACGCTTAAGTTGTTATGGGAATTCGTTCCTGATCCTCACGTTCTTTGATATGCCAATAGTTTTGGCCAACACACGAACCTTTAATCGACGATTATTTAAAACAAGATCCCAAACTTATTTTATCATCTCATTGGTAGTAGTCTATTTCCGACATCTATATACACAAAACAACAGATCTCATTTCTATGGGTAAAAGGCATAAGGGGATAAGTAAAAAAAAAAGCAATTTTTCAGTAGAGCCTTAAACGTATTCGCATTAATTCAGGAAACATATTTATGGTTAGCGGGTATACCCTTTTGTTAGCACATGTCATATGCTAACAAAAGCATATACCCGCTAAACATAAATATATTTCCTGAATTAATGCGAACACGTTTAAGTCTCTACCGAAAAATTGCTTTTTTTGATTTATCCCCTTATGCCTTTTACCCACAGATTTATTGTTTATAATAGGATCAAAATTTAACTATGTATAGCTACGAGTATAGATATTGACTAAAATCTCTAAAAATGTTAATTTTTTTGTTAAATAAACCGAGCAACTAAAAATGTTCCACCCCAAAATTTTAGCATTTTTAAACTGGCTATATAATATTTTTTACTACATCAATAACTTTATTTGCTCGACTGTAAAATTAATATAGGTTAATTCGTTAATTTTTATTTATAATTAAGTATAATTACTTGTCCAGATTTATCAAAGCCCAGATCAAACCTCTGTACCTATAGGGCTAAAATTTTGACATGGACAACCGCAAGGATAGGATTTTTTGAAATTCCATTCAAGGAGGCAAATTCGCACACTACAAACTTCAGCTTTAATCCCGGCGCATCCGCCATTTTAACGGTAGTAGGATATTTAACGGCTGAACGGATTTTGATGAAATAAAGGCGCGCACAAATACCTGCGCTATATTAGAATGGCGGCGATGTTTTGACTGAGATCTCAGCTAATTTTAACTCACATCGCGATGAATCGAGAGCTATAGCTATAGCATAAATAAAGTGAACGTGATAAAGAAATTACTGGGTTTGTTAACGGTTTTAAAATAACTCTTCATAAAATAAATCTTTTATTAATGTATTATGCATTAACGCAAATTAAGTTCTTATATAATTTAAATCAACAATATTTTAATTTAATTAAAGTTTAGGTTAGGTTGCCTTCACAGAACAAACCAAGCTGCCATAGAACAAACCAAGGTGCTCATTTTAATTGAGTGTACCCAAAATGTGTCCTTTTTTATTAACATCACTTAATCTCAGCTTACTTTAACTGAAGTAAGTCGAGATCTCAGTTAAAAAGAACGCACCTAATATTCGAGCTAATTTTGTAATTTTCCAACAAAATTAAATAAAATAATAAAAGTAGAACAGGTTTTAAAATATAGTCAATTTTCCATATAATATGGAATTGACTATATCTCAAAAACTGCTCCACTATTTTCGAATTCAGAGGACAATTTGACCTAAGAATTTACCTATTAAATATTGGGGATGTCATGGTATCCCATGGTTAACAATGGTATAAGTAAAGAAGCAGCCACTTATAACTTTAGTAACTAGTAATTTTTGACTAATTTATATTTAGAGAGAAGGCTCAATAAAACTCAAAATTTTTAAAATACGCTTAAAGGCTCTAAAAATCTTAAAATATTAAAGTTTTGAAAAGCTTGTACACAAACCTGAGAATAAAAACTCAAAAAAAGGCTTCAAATATTTCGGGTTATTTACAGGTGCCCAAATTTGAATAAAACTGGATGATTGTAAACTGCCTTTATATTTAATCTAAATATTACTTGAATTCTTTAAGGAAACCTAATATAAATACATAATGAATATAGATTAAATAAAAATATTGTTTACCGAGCGTTGAATCAAATCAGTTACTTCCAATGATAAAAGTTTCAGAGCGAGCCGATAGGCGAGTAAAGGAATTCGTTGAGGGAGTAATTGCGATTCCACCCGAGGTAAAGACTGTCATCAAACTGTCAAATTTTAATTTTGGGGTTAATTTACCATAACCCAAAAATTTAAATTTGACAGTTTGATGACAGCCCTGAAAGAATAAGGTTTATTTTTTACAAGGAGTAAAATGGTTGCTCTTAGCATTGTTCTTAGCACTTTAAGGCCTCTTTTAAGGCTTACAAATGCCTCTGTGAGAAACACAACGTTTAAAACGATTATTAATCGGTAAAACCAGAGCACAAACCCAATGCACAAGAATTGCAAACAACTAAAATGGCCGCCGTTAAACTCTGTGCAGTGTTGCAGTGATTTTTAGTATTTTTAGTACAAGATAGAACAGATATTATTGTATGGATTGTGGTCTTACATAATAACAGGGAGAGAATGAAAATGTATACAGGAGAAGGAATAAGATTATTCACAGCGGGTAAAATAAATGCCATTATTTATTATTAATTGCGAATACCATCATAAGTCTTTTATCTATGAATACCATGGTATTCTAATTAAATTTGTGTTTTTTATATACCTACCTTTTGTCGAGTAGTTGATAATGCATTATCAACTACTCGACAAAAGGTAGGTATATAAAAAACACAAATTTAATTAGAATATCCACTTCAGCGGTGTGGTCTAAGCTCACATGTGTTTTTTATTACTAGACTTTTTTTAATAATATGTAATTTTTTTGTAAGGTTGGTTTATTGTCCGAAGAGATAGAGTTAGATACACATAGATATAGTTTATGGAGAGTAACATAGCTATAACTAACTCTGTAATTGGTCCGTTTTTTTCTTTAGAACGAGAGCAAAGCCGCAGGTTTACAGTTTTTAAATTCATATAATAATAAAAAAAATACGGTTGAGTATTAAATTATATTTATTGAATACACTTTGCAGTTTATTTGTTTACTTCTGTAATTAATAAATATGGAATAGATAACCTAAAGAAAAGGGTCAGCATTTTGTTAACAGCGCATTCCCAGTTCGTGTGTGAATGTTAGGCGAGTCGCATAAAAATGGTGATAAATTTAAAGTTATTTCACTTAAAAGTTGTTAACAGTATTTTTTCTAGATTAAAGTATGTTTCCTGTTTGCGTTGTTTACGGCAGTTTATGCCCAAGACGTCGAGATGAACAACAAGTGCACTTACACGTTCAACAAGCGAATATTTACATGTGTAGGTTTAGAAGATTATAGTAAAAATGTGGAACTACACTTGGTTAATGGAACCAATTTGTTGTTTATAAAGGACTGTAAAAACGTACACCTAAACAAAAGTTTTCACTCGTCAAAAGGATTCGCCAAATTAAAAAGGTATGATATTCTAAATACCAAAACTTTACGGATAGATAGTTTTGCGTTTTCTGGTTTAGACAACGTGGAATACTTGCACATTTCAGGAAATATTTGGAGTACAGTTAAAGAAAACACTTTTGTTGGCTTGGATAGAATGGAAATTTTAAATATAGCTAATAATGAGATAGATAAACTTTACGAGAACAGTTTTAATGGTTTGGGAAATTTACGAAGCTTGGATTTGACTGGAAATAAATTATTTGAATTACCTGAAAATGGATTTAATCACTTAGTCAACCTAGAATCCTTGTATTTAAATCACAATTTATTAAAACGAATTGAGGGAAATAACTTTAACGGTTTATCAAAACTAAATCTATTAATTTTAACTAATAACTCATTGGAATACGTTAATATGAATGCAATAAATAAGGTGGCCAAATTGGAATACCTTTATCTGGACTTTAATGAAATTAAAGTTATTGATGGAGAATTGCAAACTGAAAATTTAAAGTTTTTGCAACTTAATAACAATAATTTAAAAAGAATTACAGAAAATCTTTTTAAAAAATGTAAGAAACTAATGTCTTTGGATTTATCAAACAACAAACTTAATTCTCTACATGAAACTCCCTTTACTGATTTGCCAAAGTTAAAGTTGTTAAATTTACATAATAATTCGGTTAATTTTTCTAGCTTTAATACACTAAAAAACAACATGCTTGTTATAGTTTAAAACCATATTTTTACTATGTATATAAATGTAAATAAAAATCATGTCCATGTCTTTAGTTTAATTTCTTTTCCAAACTTAAAAACTGAAATTAAAGGTATAAAAATAAAAACACTATTTTAATTTACCCATTTAAGCCTTACATATTAATTAATTTCTAAATTTTTCTAAAAAGGGTGGGTCAACAACGCAAGTTTTAACATAAAAATGTTAGTACCCTTAAGGTGGTAACAGAAATTTTCAGAAATATAAGTAATATACAGGGTGAGTCATAAGTGGTGAACTTCCCGAAAGGTGCATGTATGGGGGCCTTAATATATGTAGGGAAAAATGTTTAAAAAAATCTATCTGCTTTGGTACTCGAGTTATGGCCAAGAACTCAAAAGAGAATTTTGGCAACGTGTAAACACTAACAATGTTACAGGGAATTATTAGATTTCATTTTAATTGAAGTAACTAAGGAACTTATTTGAATTGTTACGTGCTTATATTGTTGTCATTACTGTCATACATAATAAAAGACAGCAATGAGACAGTTGTTGTGATTATAATACTTAAATAATAATTATTAAAACCAAAATCAAACAAAATAAAAATTTATGAAAAAAATAACATAAAGAAGCATGAACAAACATTACAAAAATTGCTCGAATTGATGCCCCTGATTTTCCAAACACAATTCCAGTCTTCTTCTTGTACTAACTTGTACATGGGTCAACATTTCTGAATCAGCTGGATGATTAACTCATCGGCTTCGGGTACAATCTCTTAGAGGCCGACCAAGGTCAGGACCTGCCGTGGGAATTAGTCTCTCTAGCTCTGACCATCATCCATCTAAAAACTCCCGGCGATGGGTGGGTTATGTCAGCGAATCTTGCTGCGTATACCCGGGCTGCTTCATTGCAATTTTCTTCACAGAATCCAAGTACCAGCATCATATTCACATATTCTTGATTGGTGTACATTTTATTAAATAGACTCGACAAAATAATAACCAAAAAAATAAAATATAAACGTCAAACTTAATTTTCGCATTGTTGATTACAAAGACTCGACAAAATAATAACCAGAAAATACCAAAAAATATAAACGTCAATGTCAATTTTAGTATTGTTGATTACAAAGATCATTTCAATTGTTAAAAAATCATTCTTAAACATTAAAATTAAAAGAAAATAAACTTTTTCGGGCAATTTTTTTGCTAGGAAATATTTAAGAACCCTAAACTCTTCAGTAAAAATCATATAAGGTCTAAAAATATTAAATAATAAAAAAGTTAAATTTAAAACTTAAGACCTGAATTCCTCGGTCACTTTTACATTTGGAATTTTTTTAACATTTTTCCCTACCTATATTAAGGCCCCCCTACATGCACCTTTCGGGAAGTTCACCACTTATGACTCACCCTGTATATTGAGTACATTATATGCAAAACTCTGTATTTGCAGGATAAGTGATTTTAAGAAAAACACGAAAAACCGCTCATAAGGTCATATTTGAAAAAAAAATACAAAAATCGTATAGACGTGCTTTTGCATCATTTCTTATTCAAAAAAGTAAAAAAAGTAATTTAAAATTAAGTAGTTTAGTAAATAATTGAAATCAAAAGATTTAAAAACATAGTTTTGCATCTTCCTCGTTCAAAGACCAAGTTTTGCAAGTGAAAAGTGCAAATACCAAAAAAATAACAATTAATCAGGTGATTGTTATGCCGTCAGTTAATGCGTATACTAGCGACGTGATTGGTGATTGGTCAAATACCGCGTTTTGCATCCGACAGGAAGAAACAAATACCCAGTTTTGCAGCTGCGGTAAGTTTATAAATGTATTTTATTCTACAAATATTAACTTATGCATCTGGTTTACTTAGGTATACTGTGGGCAGTGCAGTTATGAACATAAATAAGATAAAATATATATTTTTTAAAAATGTGCAAAAACCGAGTTTTGCATCTAAGTGCGCGTTCACAATGGACGTAACCATAAAAAAAACATAAGAAATACATAAAAAAAAGTACATAAGGATACATAAGAAGCGTTCACAATGTGCATAGTACGTAATCTTTACGTTTATGTGACTCTTATGTAAAAATTATGGAGTACCGTAAAAATCACATAAAGTTCAAATAATTTAACTTTATGAAATATTTATGTAATTTTTTGGGAAAATTCGGTGATTTTTGGTTTGTTATGTTTTTATATTGGCAACTCTTGCGTTTATGTGACTCTTATGTAAAAATTATGGAGTACCGTAAAAATCACATAAAGTTCAAATAATTTAACTTTATGAAATATTTATGTAATTTTTTGGGAAAATTCGGTGGCTTTTAATTTGTTATGTTTTTATATTGGCAACTCTTGCGGTGCCTATATAGTAACCATTTGCTATGGAAAAGGTTGAGTCACCGGTAGACAAATACCTAAGATAAAGCCAAATTATTATTTTAGTTTTTTATTATAATAAAAGTAGGTACAAGACACCCAAAAGAACAGAAATTCAAACATCTCGAAAAGACATTACTTGAACTATTCAAATCCATTTTAGACTAACTTCTTTTTTTACCATTCTATGCTAAAATTAAAAAGCATTACCATTGCCATTATTATTGTTTAATATCAATTTAAAATTAAATTGTTTAATATCAATTCAAAATTAAGCACATTGGCCATTTAATCCTATGTTGTAACCTTACATTGTATGTATTTACATAAGGATTAATAAATACGTTATTTATTTATTTAAAAGTAGGTAAACAACCTCAATGTAATGGCCAACCGTTGACTTGGACGCTCTGTTTAATCAATTTAGGGGACACTAGTTTTAGCAATTCCTCAAATAATGAGGCTGTCATTCTAGTAAGTATAAGTAAAAAACCATTCAGTGTCATGAAGTCGCATTTCAATAATTAGTCTTCGAAACCCTTTTTTTCTCTATCTCAATTTATAGGACGAACCCACCAGCGTCTTGTTCGTTTTGGTTTTACCCTATCTTGGCGATCTTGGCATCGTCGTCTTAGTAGTAACAATAATAACAAATTCTTCAGTCTCACTCATTTTAAAAACACAATTCACAAATTTTTAATTTAAATTAAATTAAAATGACATTAGTTTGACATGCACAACATGTCAATTTTTATGGTCATTGTGAACGCTCTTTGGGTTTTATGTAAATTTTATGGTTATGATTTATGATTTCATTATGTATCTTTTATGGTTATGTCCATTGTGAATCCACACTAATGTACTCATATATAGTAATGTTTAAAAAGTCTTTATATATTAATAAACCTAAAATATTGTTTTATCTATAATGCTCAAACAAAAGTAGTTTATTGTCAAATTTGACAACTTATATTTTTTATATTTTGCTGAACTTTTTAAAGCATAATGGAGTTTCAATTTAATATTAACGATATATTTAAGCAGGCCATAACGGAGATCGATCAAAATTTACTGCCACCAAAATTTTGCGGCGATAAAAGGTGCTTATGGGATACCGTGCAAAAAGTAACGCAGGTCGTAAATGCTGTTGGTGCAGCGTCTGCAAAGGCTCAAGGATTACCCAAGCCTATCACCACGACTGATCGCTTAAGAAATTCCGACAACAAGTTGTACTTCATGGTGGATTCTCAAGCCAATAATGGCAACGGAGCCATTACAGGAATGTTAAAAACCGGAAAGAAAGCGTTGTATGTGTTTGACAAAGAGGGGCAGCACTATCAGGTGTCTCCAAAGTGCGTTTTGGACTTTTATGTCCCCGAATCTCGCCAGAGAAATGGTTTGGGGAAACAGATTTTTCAGCACATGTTGGAGAAGGAGGAAACCTCTCCAATAAACATGGCCATTGACAGACCGAGTGATAAACTAATAAACTTTCTCGACAAACATTACAGTTTAAAAGAGCCAATCAAACAACGTAATAACTTCGTCGTTTACAATGGATTTTTTCCAAAAGAAAATAAAAATGCAGGCGATTCATTGAATGCCAAAAAACTTACTGCAAATGGATTGCAATATTTTGCAAACTCGCAATACTACACTGAGCCTGTTTGTAGAATGGAAAAGGTACGAAAATAATTATAAGAGTTATAATATTAATTAAGACAATGCCATTTTAGATTAATCCAAATCCGCCGTCCGCTCAACTAACAACAAACATACACAATATTCAACGGGCAACCATACCCCAAACTTTAAACGGGGCTATAGGCTATACAACACAAAATTCACCTTATATCTCCCAAGAATATGGATATGAAAAACCACAGCAATTTGCACTTCCCAGTCAAAACATTGATCCGCAAAATATGCAATATAATGTCAATCAACAAGCCCATCTTCAATATCAAACAACTCCTAAAGAAGTACCATCTACCCATCAATATGCAACCATGCAATCAGCCCAATATCAAATACCACAATATGCTCAAAATCAACAAAATGTCTTACAGCAGGTTCCATATGATCCACAAAACCAGCAAGTCGTTCAAAGTTTACCAGCGCAAGCACTTAATCAACAATTAATTCCAAATATGCCAATGCAAAATCAACAAGTCATTCAAAATATGCCACCACAAGCACAGAATCAACAGGGTATTCAAAATATGCCACAGCAACTTCAAAGTCAACAAGCACAAAATCAACAAATCATTCAAAATATGCCATCTCAAGAACAAAATCAACAGGGTATTCAAAATATGCCACAGCAACTTCAAAGTCAACAAGTACAAAATCAACAAGGAATTCAAAATATACCACAGCAAGTTCAAAGTCAACAGTTCATTCAAAATATGCCACAACAATTACAAAATCAACAGGTCATTTCAAGTAGGAAAGATCAAGTTCCTTATGTCCCTCAAAAACACACGGTGGTTTCAAATGTGCCACAACCTCTTGAGGCTCAATATCAACAGGTCATTCAGAGTATGCCGCAAAATCTCCAACAAACTCCTTATGAAGGTCAAAATCAACAACTGATTCACAATGTACCAAATGCTCAAAATGTACCTGTATATCAAAACCGTCCAGGAAGACGTATGTACTCGACCATGAGTACTAGAACACCAGCGCCTTATTACACTGATAACCAAACTTATTACACTGATGACCCAGCCTCTACGGTCACCGTACCAAATGCAAATATTCAAGTTGCACCTGCCCATCAAATGTACAATGAGCAACAACAAACACCCCCAGAAGCATACGGGTTACCAAATAGACCAAAAGAAATTTTACATCCTAGTAATCACCCCCAACAACAAACTATTCCTGTGGCACAAGCAAAATCACAGCCTATAACAATTGCAGAAAATATACAAAATGCTCCAGTAGCATACTCCCAGCCAAATGTTAATATTCAAAGAAGTGATGCACAAGTTCTAATGCCACAAAATATCCCAATACAACAACAACCTATATACTCACAACCTGATTTAGGTTATATAACACCTCAACAGGTAGTATCTAATATAAATACACAACAGCAACCAGTTTATGCTAATCGTAATAATGGTTATTTAATGAATCAAATTCCAGTGCAAAGTTTACAAAACATAAATCAACAACAGCAGCAAATGTATATGCAAAATATGCCAAAAAATAATCAAAATATTTCTGCAATTCCATCTCAATACAATGGAATAGGTCAACCACCTTCTCAAGTCGACCAAATGACACCTCAAACACAATATTATAAGAATACCACCCAACGACAAGAAAATATGGTTCCACAGCAAACTGCAAAACATAAACCTGCTAACGGCCAGGATCCAGTTATACCACAACCCACAAATGCTAATTTAAATAACCAATCACAAGTTGAGCACCATCAAGAAATGGTGGAGACTCAGCCAACTCTGGATCAAAACCAGGAAGAAACTAGTGATGATGTTTCTACTCAACCGAAGATGGACGGAATTCAGGATTCGAAAAGTTCTGGAAAAGAAACGGTGCGAAATGTAAACACAAATAAAAGAAATATCAATGAGGAGGGAGGGTTAAGATATGGGTATCCTGCACAGAAGCCTGCAAATCAAATAGCCTCGTTTATTTAATTAATTAACATCTTATTGTATGGGTTTTCAATAAATTAATGTTGTAATCTTGCACACTTCATTTAAATCTATAAATCTAATTAAGCGATTACACAATAATTTGATTATGATAGATTCTAATATCTTCAATTTGCTAAATACATTAGCGTCACATAACTTACATCTTATTCAGTTAAATATTTGTAGTTAACGTTTGCAAATATAATAAATGATAGCTCATAATTAACAATAATGTTGCTTGTTTGACCTTTTGATTATAAGCAAAATGGCGAATAAATTGAAATTCTGCTATTGCATTCCTAGTTACCACCTACTACTTAATCTACCTTATAATCTATCTAACGAAAAAATTCAATTTGCATTTATGTACCTATCTGCTTTTGTTTAATTGTTTTTACTGATTTTATTAATTATTGTATACAATGTACTGCAAAGTTTATAAATATGCATGCAACCAGCAAACAGTTATTAATAGATTCAATTATACACAATATTTAATTATATTCCAAATGTAAGTTATGCTGTAATTGAAATAACTTATTATTATTTAATTTTGTCCAGTAGCCACATTATAACAAAGCAATTATAGGTTTAAAATGAATTAGTCAAAAATTACTAGTTTTCAAATTAAAAGCAGCCACTAATAACTGTTATTAGAGTAGAGCCGACTGAGATATAGTCAATTCCATATTAGATGAAAAATTGACTATATCTCAAAAACTTCTCTACTTTTCTACTTTTAAAACTTTCGACGAAATTTTCGGATTATGCGGACAATTTTCCATAAGGATTGACTGCTAAAAGTCCCGGATACAAATTGCTCTTCACGAGAATTATTAGTGGCCGCTTTTTCGCTATGACAATTAGTCATTTTTGACTAATTTTTAGAGAGTAATGAACATTTTTATCTAGGGCTTATACTGATCTAAATAAAAATTCCATAAATAAGGCTGTCACAGTTAAAACTTAAGAAGGAACATCCCATATTTTCATATGCAACCAATGTCATGAAAATTTGCACAGTGACTATTTTTAGCTTTCTACACAAAACGACGATTGTCTATTTCTTTTGCAAAATAATTAACATTAAGAAATTTTAATTTATTTTGCAAGAATTCTTATGATAATACGCTGTAATCATGAAATTGTCAATTGTGATTCACAATTGAGGAGCATTCGTGCAAAACCGGCTATATCCATTTTAATAAAATGTTGGGAAAATGGCCAGGAAACGGAGAGTTTTTGCCATTTTCACATCTAGTTGTTTACAGAGGAAATTTTGCACCAAAAAAATACCAAATAAACGTTTTACTCTTGAATTGATGCATTTTTATCTGTTTTAGAACTCAGGGGAATAATCTGTGATCCCTGATTTTCTACAATGTTATCCATTACATCTTTGAACGAGCCTTTTCTTATACACACTTTTCATCGCTAATTTTCCTTTCCACCTACATCGACTTTTTATTGGGGCACTTTTATTTGTTTAACTCTGTTATCTATGTCTATATATGTGCAACAAATGTCAAAACAAATAACATAACCTTACTTTCGTTTGAGAAAAATTAAAAAGAAGCAAAACACGCGAACAAGCCAGAATGGAAGAGATAGAAAATACAGTTTCATAACTACCAATGCAAAAAGTTATCACCATAGAAATATTCATCACGTGATGACGTCAAGTTCCTGTAAAGTACACTGTAATAAAAATCAGATTTTTTAACATGTTTGTAGTTTTATTTTGTAAACTTTTAATTTTTGTAGAAACCCAGATAACAAAGGAAAATATTTTACCGAAAGTTTTGTAAATATGCAATTTTGTAAGCATTTTGTTAATTTCAAAGGTTATAGATTATTTTCTTAATATTTAATAAATTATTTGGTTGAAAACGCACACGTGATTTTAGGCAGCCAATCAAAACATTTTCTACTCACTTTTTTTTCGTCATACATACAACTTCAGCACAATAATACGCATCAAAAAGTACTACTGACTTTAGCATCTGCAACTTATGTTTCTGCTTACTCTTTAAAAATGAATGAGTCAAAAATGACAAATTGTCATAACAAAAAAGCGCTCAATAATAATTATCGTCAATAGCAATTTGTATCCCGAACATTAAGCAGTCAATTTCCATGTAAAATTGTCCCATGAATCCGAAAATCTCGTCAAAAGTGACGGTAGGTATTACAGTTTCGCCATTCAACTGTTTGAATCAGGGCATCTTTCGTGATTATTTTTTTAAACACTTAAATCGATTAATTTAATAATAAAATAAAGGTAATGAGTAGAACAAGATAGTCTTCCTGGAATGAGCAAGGGCAGCGTTAGCTTTATTTTGTATTTGCTACCATTGTAACCTTTTTTCTTCATTTCAAAGAATGCAGGCGACAAGTCAATAACTTTTGCCTCAGAGAGTATATAATATTCTTTTTCTACTCCTATTATGGAATATGACTGTTCTAATATTACAGAATTAATTATTCTATCATCGGATGACGAAATAAACACTGGTGGCGACATCTCTGTGTTTAATCTAAAATTTTAGACAAATCCAACCTCACTTTCTCCCAATTAATGGTATTTTTTGGAAACGTAGAAAAAGTATAGTCTGATACACGTTTGGAATTGCATATTCCGCTCTTGTAAAACAGTCAAACTCGCCTTCGGCTCGTGTGACAAACTTTTTACTCGAACGGAATATACCGTATTCCAAACTTGTTACAGAATATACCATTCTAAAAACTGTGAATTTGCAAAAACATTACTTTGACAAATCACAGCAACCGTGTTTTAAAAAAATCGGCGAATGAAAGCATCGTGTTCAGTAAACACTTAAATTTTAAAGGATGTTTTGAAGCAGAAGCAGATTTCACTAATATTACTTTTGATTTTTGAATCGTTTAAGTATTTGCATAAACATACCTTAATTAAGTCAAGAGAGTTGAATTGCAATCTTGATTTTCAACTTCATGTATTTTACTTATTAATTGTGTCATATGTAATATATAATAATGGTTTAGTTTGTAATATTGTACTATCACTTAGCTTAAAAGAGAGAAACAAATTAAAATGGTTTCTGCAATAGCGTTTTGATTGGTTGAAAAGGTTTGGTTTTCAATAGGTGAATAAGTTAACTGGATAAAAGTGTTTTAAAATCGCTCAAGCGTGACGGACATAATGTGATAATTTAGTCCCCATTGTCTGTAAATATAAAGTGGGTGCTTTGCCAGAACAAATAGCGTTCACTTACACAGTATTCTATTACTTTATCTTGTTATTTATTGACCGTTGTACCGATAGAACACTTAAATTTTACTACAGTGTTGTAATCGATCGCCAATAACTATAAATTCAGAATTGATACATCTAATCCCTTGGCTTTTTAATTTTGCAATTGTAAACCCATGTGTAAATCACTATTTAACGATATATTGAGACACATTTGTGAATTGAAAGTTTTAGAAAAATTTCGATGAAACATGACTTTTTTAATAAGCGAAAGGATTACTGAACAATCAAGTTAATTTGGAAAGGCTTGGGCATTTTATAAATGAGTGCCTATGTATTTACAAAGTAATATTTGGGTTTGGAAATCATTACTAAATAAAAGCACTTATTCTGAACAATCAAGTTAATTTGGAAAGGCTTGGGCATTTTATAAATGAGTGCCTATGTATTTACATAGTAATAATTGGGTTTGGAAATCATTACTAAATAAAAGCACTTATTCTTAAAATGCCCAAGCTGTCCCAACAGTTTTCTCCATGTGGATTTACAAGTGTAATTGTAAAGGTACACCTATAAACGTCATATTTAAAAAAATATTTATTAACAGATAGTCTAATTTTTCGTACTTGTCTAATAAAAAGTTTTTAAACAAACTTTTAACATCAATGCATTGGAATAAACTTATGTCATGTGGATTTACAAGTGTAATTGTAAAGGTACACCTATAAACGTCATATTTAAAAAAATATTTATTAACAGATAGTCTAATTTTTCGTACTTGTCTAATAAAAAAGTTTTTAAACAAACTTTTAACATGAATGCATTGGAATAAACTTATGTCTTCTTCCAAGGTCACTTCTTTTTGGGGGATTTTTGACACATAAATGTATTATACAGACCGGCAAAAGTATGGAACAAATTTATTTAAAAATTTCCTGTAATTTTTCAAAAAAAATCCTTAAACACGTCGATTTTGTTTTTCAATTACGCACATTTTTATATTTGACGCCATTTTTGTAGAAGCTATGACGTCATCGGCCATTTTTTAAAATTGCACCCCCAACTTTTGCAGATTCGAGTATGAAATTCTGGTTTTAGCAAAATGCACATGTATACCTTGTGGGCTGATAGTTTCGGAGATATTAATTTTTAAAAGTAAAAATTATAGTTTTTTAATGATTTTTTAAAATAAAATAAATTAAATCACAAACATTGAAATTTAATAATACCCAAAACTATCAGCCCAACAGGTATACATGTGCATATTGCTAAAACCAGAATTTCATACTCTATTCGAATCTGCAAAAAAAGTTGGGGGTGAAATTCAAAAAAATGACCGATGACATCATAGCTTCTACAAAAATGGCGCCAAATATAAAAGTGTTATATCAAAATGTGCGTAATTGTAAAATAAAATCAATGTGTTCAAGGATTTTATTTTTAAATTACAGGAAATTTTTAAATAGTCTTCACCTACACTAGTGTACACAGTGTACACTGTTTAAAATATCTGTGGTGTAAAAAGTAATCCTAAAATGGTGTCAAAATCCAACACCAAGTGGTGTTAATATAACACCATAAATTATGGTGTGGATCACGTGATGTTCTTAAATCTCGCCTCTGTTGACTTACATGAAGAATCCTTTGCTTTGGTGTGACACTACAAGTTCGATACTAAAGAGACCTTAAATAGGTGGAAACAGCTGTCAATACTTGAAGTATTTTAAGTTAGTGCAACGCACTAAAAACATTATCTCTAGCGAGTTACAGGTTTCATTTTCTGGAATAATACCACTGGTAATATACTAGTAAAGCGTCAAGGAACTTCCTGTTTCCTTTTTTTTTTTCCTTTTTTTGTGTAGTATGATTTAATTTGTCCACAAACACATAATATTTAACACTAAAAAGGAGTTCAATTTAC